TTATCTTCCATAAATGCCTGGTAAGGTACCTTAATTTTTTGTGAGGAAACTTGTAAAAGTAACAAATGAATGCTTCAATGACAAATTCTTGGAAAAAATTATATATTTTTGAGGAACGTGTCGTCTGACCTTATGTTACTGGTATAGATTGAAAATTCTATATGGAAAAAATAATACGACGGTTGTCCAAAATTCTGTAGACTGAGCTCATATCTTTTACAGAAATTAATACCCAACAGGCCCCTAGTGAAAAGGAGATAACAGTTACTGTAATCATATCCAGGTTCATCATATCACGCATCTGTCTAAAACTAAGTTCCACAAAGTGGCGGATCCATTGATTTTTTTTAAATCACAAGCATAGTTACATGAAAGTCCCACAAAATGACTCGTCGGTCGGAAAGAAATGAACATGAAGCTCCACCCTCTAATGCAAAGTCTATTAACAAAAAAGATATAATGATTTGAAAGTCACTTATTTGATAACTTATTTCAAATGATAAAAATATACATGAATAATTTAAAAAAAAAAAAAACATACAAAAGTATATGTTCTTGTACTAGGAATTAATGAAAAGAATTATATTTGTCCTCGAGTTAAAATTCATAACTGTATGACTATAAATAATTATGTATAAAACATGGAGGTGTACATACAAAATGCAGCATTTCTTTGTAATTTTCACGGGCGAAGGATCTGATACAATCATGGCATCAATTACGTCTCAAAATTCAGTGGTTGATGAAACCTTACGGCCAACTGCAATTAAATTGTATATTATATTTTAATTTCATAATAACAACAAAACACATAAATACACGAACTAAGGATGTGTATTTCACACAGATTAATTTAAACAATATTTTATTATGTATAATCATAATAGGATTGGACAGCAGGCACTGCCTATATAAGTCCTCTCCATAATACAAGGTCAAAGTCGTACATGTACAAGTAAATATTAGTTACATATCATTGAAAAAAAAGTATATATACATGTGTATATTCAAAAGAAATTATAAAAATAAGACATAATAAATAGAAAATTAATTATAAGTGAGCTGATAATACAATATATGTTTGCAGTTTAACATATATGACAATCAAAATAATACAGGTATAAATGTGAAAGTTAATAAGAACACATAAATAGATGTTGGTTCTGTGGTTTGACTATTTAAGAACCCTCTCTACACTGCACACTAAAGAGTTCTGATTCTATGGTATTTTTCTGCAGTTAGAGTGATCTGGCCTTGGATCTAAATTCCAATAAATAGAAATTTGCAGTATATTACACAATTTGTAATCAATTCAAGTATTCTTATCATTTTAAAAGACCAAGATAAATTAATTCAACATGTTATTTACTTGTATTTTCTCCATGGAAGTAAACAGCAGTGATTTCTGTTCACCGATACTGTGTTGTGTTTGAACATTATCATGCAAATCTCTTGTAGATGTAATAAATTCATTAACAAATTTGAATACTGCAATATTTTGATTGTAAGTAAGGTTATTGTCTCCATTTAAAATAAATTGTAATGATAAAGGCATTGGTAATTGCGAAGTATGAAAGTTTTACACGCAGATTACAAATATGCTTACAAAACAAGAATAAAATGATGTATGGGGTACTAGAAAATCTAACTTTTCTTCTAAATCCATGAAAAGGACATTATACTTACTGAGCAGAAGTTGATTATCCGGCCTTAATCCTTGTGCATTGCTCGTAAAATACATTATGTATGAACAGCAAGAAGACGCGCACTTCTTGTCCATCAGTTGAATTCAAATTTTGACCTAGATAAGCTGCAAACAACTACTCTGTATCGCTGCCCGGCAGGAAAATTGCATAACAAGGTTATCATGACACTGAAACTGACCAGCTAAGCCAGAACCACTCCTTATCTGATGCTTAGAAGATAAATTTGGGGGGTGGATCTTAAGTAATGTAAACTGACCGGGGTACACGTTAATTGTTAGTGTGTAAATTGTTAAACCCTTTTGTAACGTGTTAATTTTATGTTAATTTTAATGTTTTTAATTTTGTGATAAGAAAGATTATAGTAAATATCTAATACAGTTTACGTTTTTGTCTTTCATAAATGCAACAAAAGCACAATTTAATTAAAATCAGACTTCTTATATCCGCTCCGTATACATTCTGCACAGAGTATACGGTGCGGATCTAAAAAGTCTAATTTTAATTAGATTACATTAATTTGGAATAAATTATTATTTTTATTAAATCTATAGTAACGTGGAATTACAATGAAGTATTAGATGAAGATGTCATTATAATAATGATTATTTATAAAAAGCTAATATTGAGCATAAAAAAGTTTCTTAATTTATTTCATTTATGCAAAAACACTGCATTCACAATTAATTTACAAATTAACTTTTTCGAAACAATGTAATTACAGTGACGAGTTGAATGTAGATGTCATACTTCATATCAACTCATATTAAACATTTTATTACAGTACTGTTCGCACAATTCTGAAATTAATATAAATTAATTCATAATGCATTTCATTTTTTGTGAATAATCATAATATTTTCTAACAATGCATATATACCGGTATAGCAAAAAATTACATTGATTTAGCGTTCAATAATTTAACCATTACTATTTTGACTTTGAAAAATAAAGTGCTCATTACCCGTTGTTTCAACATTAAATTTTCCTCCCTTTTTCAACGTTGAAAATATGTTGCATCCTCAACATTGTTTCAACGTTGAAATATCAACGAACATTCAAGTTCAAAATATGCTGCATTCTTAACATTGCTTCAACCTTTAAATAACAGCAAATATTTAACTTTGAAAATATGTTGAATCTTCAACGTTGTTTCAACGTTGAAATATCAACGAACAGTCAACGTTGAAATATGTTGCATTTTCAACGTTGTTTCAACGTTGTAAAAAGGTTAAGAATTCAACGTTGAAAATATGTTCGTTCGTTGAACTATAGTTGCTCAACGTTGCGACTTAAATTCCACCTACTTTCAACGTTGAAACAACGTTGCCTGCCTGCTGGGATATTTCTTTATAAAATTTTCTTGGTGGATAGAGTGTGTTGTTGGCTGATAAATTACGAAGTTTAACATGATTACGTAAAAACAATTCGAGTAGTAAAACTCATCGTTTCCTAACACCCGGAGCAATCTCCAACGTCAAAAAAAAAAAAAAAAAAAAAAAAAAAAATAAAAATAAACGTCACATTTCAGATTTTCAGAGAGAAGTGTCCTTATTTCCAAAATTAAATTCTTGAATTCATCATTAAGATTATAGACATAAATGTGGAATATCTGAATCATTATGGCATGATTTAATATAAAAAGATATAAACAAAACATGTAGATGAACATGTATCAAAAATAATATTTAGAAATCTCTTTGTTTCTACGTTTTTTTTAACGTCTGTCTTCTCTAATGATGTTGCACAATGTCACGCATGCCTGATTCCGGATCCTCGACCAGTCTCTTTTTTTAGGTTCCCTTCTTCACACACATAGAAAAACTGTTTCAGTCATTTTCATATTCAAATGACCAGAAAATATCTCCATGCGTACCAAACATTTATGAGTGCGTTTCTGTAGATGCGAAATCAAGATTAGAACATTTTATCACAGTTGAGTGCGCAGCCTGTGTCAAAGCAGCATCCATTTTTCAACACGTCAGGTTTCAAACCGGTGGATATTAAACGTTATAAAATGCATATTAATTAAAGTATATACACCAAAATTTTAGGAAAGATCGTTAACAATGTATAATTAAGAATTTTTATTTCTGTTCTCGACATTTTAAGAAGTAAATGCTTTTTACTTGGATTTTAAATAATATGTATCGATTTTTAATTGCAATTTTTGGGTACTGTGCCGCCATCATACATTTGACAATGAATCTTATTTGAATAGGGTCAATCTCTGTTACAGTTGTTCAGTCCATAAATTAATTACCGGTAGTTATTGTTAGTTTAATCTATATACAAAGTTTCATTGATTTAAGACATCGGGTTCCTCCAAACCAATGCTTGTCTACGGAAGTTTGGGATAATCTTCGTACGACCTTTTGGATGATACCTTAGAAGCCAGACCGTTAGGCGAGAGTAGAAGTGCGTTACTGGATACGTCTTCAAATCAAACAACACGAGACATTAGACTGTGACATCGCATCACGTCGAATGGTATCTGCATAAGACAACCATAATGGAGACTGAAAAGAGCAAATTTTAACAAAGAATGTTTGATCCACTATTTATCTGCAATATTCATTTAAGCAAGTTTTTAATTTAGTTATTACCACGAGAACGTAGTTAGAAGCGAGATTTGTTCGCGTTGCATAATTGGTCTCGAGGTTACTGCCGAAAATATCATATAGATCAATGTGCACAGTCCGTTTTTTTTTCTTCGCCCAAGTGTTGTTTTCAGAGCTTGCAGTGTCGAGCGGCGTTTGCTATAATAATAATTTATTTATTATAGTGACTTGTGTAATACATCATGAAATACTTAAATACAAAAAAGACAAGTACTTTACACCCGGCCCTTTGGACCTATAAGTCACCTGGATATAAATCTTACATTTTCCCTCACGGACTATAATTATATGTATGTACAATATTGTGTAGATCGTTAACTTATTTATTTTGCTCCTAAGAATGATATAGTATGTCTATCGAAATAACATTTTTCACTACTGTCACAGACCGAAGTCCATATCAACTGATAGTTTTGTGATACAGCATTTGTTACAGCTATAATTAAAATCATTTATCTCTAAAAAAAAAAAACCCTATTTATTTATTTCTCAAAATGTAAATTTTGGCTTTTAATTCTTTTTACATTTCGATATCATCTTGAAATTGGTCTCGAACCATGACCCAATAAATTTTCTTTTGAACAATTTAATAAAAATACATGCCGAGTCTATTTTCATTTTCATGCAGACGAGATTTATTGCTGAATTTCTTGACATAGCATTTTTCTATTGATAGCGAACAAAAGAATACAATAAACAGCACTGTAAGCACTGATACTGAAGTCAACAAAACAACGGGTATGGAGTACTTTGCAGCAATTGGTGTAATAATTCCTTTTTTGCTTGCTGCAGTCATCCTGGGTTTTTTTCTTAGAAGGCGGCGTAAGTATATTTTATGTCCTCAAATATGAAAACGAATATTGAGAATATGAAGGGTGATAAAATGTTCGCGAACTAATTGAATTACTTTCAGAAAAGAAAGAAAATTAGGTTTCTGTGTTTATTAATTAGTCCGTTTATTTTTCAAAAATGGCCAAATCTCGGCAATAGGATGGGTGAATAAAGATATCCTTTCCCAGAATGAGCATGGTGACCATCACAGCCCGACTCCTCTGTCTTGGGTGCGTCGTTCATTCAATGTAGATCAAGTATAGGCGCCTTCTCTTAATATCTGATAGTTTTAAGTTTAAAGTAAACGATATTTCAGGGATTTAATAATAAATTTATTGTTATGATATTAAACCATTTTTCTAACTGTAACTTGACGATCTTTCAAAACAAATTGCTCAACCAAGAATGCATCTCTTTTCTCAGCTTTCTTTCACTGGACACTAGAACGAACATTATTTTAACCATCTCCCTTCCTTCTATAAAACAATCAATCCAATTAATGATTGAACTTCTGGGAAGTCTTTTGTTGTTATAAACCTTGTACAAATTATTGTAAGCTACTGAAAAGGAATTTCCAAGATAAACTTTACAGCCGTTCCTTGCTCGAGTACAACTGAGTCAACCATTTGGTGTCACAAGTTTATTCAACACTGATAATTATATCAGAGTGCTCAAAATATTCCTGTGAAGTTTAAATAAAATAAAAAAAATAAGTTTCTATTTCTTTTTAATTTTAGCTGGACATTAGTAACAACAATTCATGATTGCGCAAACCATTCCATACTCGGTGACTGCGCTAAATTCTGAATACGTCAATTTAAGGGGGCTCTCTACAACGTCACAAAATGGCGTACTTCAGTTTCAAACGCCATTTTGGTCCGAAACGAACTGATTCTGTCCTAAAAAAATTCACAGAACACCGATAAATCACTGGGTATAACACAACTTGCGAAATGTATACTAGCTCTATTTTGAATGGAATCTAAGACTATCCCATCGAGGCGACGAGAGTGGCAAATATAGCCTTTCCTTAAACATGAATTGTTTGTCAATATATTCAGTTTCAACTTTTTTATTCATAAACAATATAATTTATTAAAATAAAATATGATTATAAGTAATAAAAAGTTAATATTATAAACCAAAGCCTTGTCACCAAACCCAATCATATGTTTCCATATGAACATCAGTCCTAAATTGATCCTTCTCTCCAAAAGCATATGCTTTCAAGCAAAATATATCCAAAAATGAAAATTTAAACAAACGAAGCATGTGTATCACCATCCCATCGCCTAGAGGAGACATCCTGTTCCTAACAAGTATACACCCCGCATGTGTGTTTTACCCGGTAAAATTGAAACTTTTCGTGAGATCACCAAAACGCTTCGATAATAAGTGGAATTGTATTAACTCAAACGTTTAATCAACATCGATTATTAGCTGTTTTGTATCGAAAACGTGCAGATTTGAAGCAAAGTAGGAATTTCGTTATACGAATTTCTTTAACCCACTTTTGACCATTTACGTGTCATGTCTTCTGTAGCACAGGAAAATACATGTACATACAAGTTGGATGAAAACGGTAAGTAAATCTACCTTTCTCAATACTAAGAATTCCCTTCACATGTTTTGACTAGAAACGTGTTGTTCTTCGCTAAAATTCATTCAAAAACAATACAATACGAACTTATCTCGATGTCCAAGTTTGGCATGTACCTATTAATTCCTTTTTTCAATACCTGTGCAAGAGGAATTAGATAAATATATTTGGGTCCAAGATATTTGAGCCCACTCTCTAAACGGGGCTTTGCATGACACCTAATTTTTGTGATGGTTTAAATTTTAGTCAACTTTTCAATTTCATTCAATTTCTTTTTTTCATCCTTTTAAGCCTTTGATATTATATTTATTTTCAGATTTTGCAGGAAATCCGACCAGTTCTTCTCATGAAAATGCTGTTTTAGTTTTTCCTTTGTCTATTATTGTAAATTCAAATAAAAATTATGTAGATTTCATTTATAACTTTTTTGGTTTTCATTTCAAGATTTTATAAAATTAAACTTTGAATAGAAAATTAAAGCATAAGGCTTTTAAAAATAAAGAATCAAGGGTTTCCTACAGAATAAATTAAATATTTTAAATATTTCAAAAAAAAAAAAAAAAAAAAAAAAAAAAAAAAAAAAGTTAAATACTTTGGAGCTTTATTTTATTGGATATTGAGTCTATTATTAGAAACAAATGCATGAAACAAAAATCATTTATACTTCATAGGTGTAGAGATCCTCCTTAGGTACACGTACAGTATTTTTGGCATAGTATATCGTAATGGAGTTTTATGAAGAGACTGACTTTTACAATCGATGACTGATTGATACAAAGGCATCTGAAATGTGGATACCCTCCCCCCTCCCCCCAATTAAAAAAAAATTAGTAAGAGCCTATAATTTCTCATAAATACAATATTAGAGTAATATGAGAGTAATACAGTATGAGATTTCCCCGTCAGTCACACCCATAATTCGTTTTATGCCAGCAGATTGTATTTTTTCTCATGTTTAGGGATTAGTCATGTACGGTATAATAAAAATACACTTTATTATACCGTACATGGCCAATCTTTAAACGTGAGGAAAAAGTACAGTCTATATTTGCATAAAACGAAATATGAGAGTGATGAATGAGGAAATCTCATATTTTTGAGAAATTAGAGTCTCTTCATTTTTTTTTAAATTTGGGGGGGGGGGTTCCACACTTCAGGTATCTGTGATATTCATCGCAATGTTATAAGACATCCCACTCTCTGAGACTAGCAGTGGGAGTCTTGCTGAAATGTGGATATTATGAAGTTTGGAGAGAGAATGCAAGACTCCCCTCTTCTGTACAACTCACGGTCTGCAAGGAAATATGAACGTATTTGTCATATCTATTGAAGTTATCAAAACTCATGCATCAATCGAACACGTGTTTACAGGTGCTTATGTAAACTCCCAATCTGATTGACTCTGCATTTATGGAAAACCTGTTTTAAGGTATTCGAATGAATCTTGTGAGAAAATTAACGACATAGAGGGCTGTCTCTCAGTGGAGATTGTGTTTCCCTGATGCCTCGCCCCTACAATAAACCGCATTCTTCTTTCTGAAGAAATGGGAATAATTTGAAAACTAAAGTTCAAGAGATAGCTTTATTCAAACGCTTCAGTCATTGTAGGATAGGCGCGTAGTTTCGTTTTTGAAAGGGAAGGGACAGTCAGAAAAAAATCCCAATTACTTGAAAAAACTTTGACAAAAAAGAAGTAAATGTTTCAAACTCCAAAATCCTATTTCTTGGGGGCTGGGGTCTTACTTCTTTCACGAACTTTTTTCTTCATACATTGCCACATAGCCCTGATTTATGCTGCAACAAAAAGTGGCGGACCTGCCATTCTATGAACATTTTCTATATTAAAAGGTTATGTTGGGAATAAAAGTGGGGGCCAGGCCCCACTGCCCGCCAGTACTACTTTTCTGCAGGATAAATCGCTTAAAATAACTTTTTCATGAGAGGTTTCCAGGTCTGCTAACTTGTCAATCGCCTTAAAGCAGTTTACAAAATTACATTCGAAAAATCATTTGAATCATCAATAAATTGATATTGATTTATTAAAATAATAGATAAATTTTCCTGAATGAATAATATGAAGGAATAGATATTACATATGTAAGGATTGATTTATTCAGACCCCAAGAATTTTCAGAAGCTTCAGGAACTTTCCTTTATAAATTCACTCTACGTCTTTTGGTTGGACCCAAGCAAATCTAAAATCGGCCTGTACTTGCCATCCTGTTATATATTATATCATACCAAGGCATTGTGTCTGGTCTAGGTTTTGGGTGAGCACAATGAAAGCGCAATTATCACTAATCACCTATCTTCCCCAAAAGCGCATCCCCACAACTTTAGGGAGCCCCGAGTCAACTCGTGGCTGTGAGACCCTGACAAACTTCATTCGATACCAAGATCGATGCGAGGCAAAGAAATTCAGCGGCTTTGATGGGTTAAAATCTGAAGTTGTTCGGCTTTCTTCGTTAAAGCCTCAAGTTTAAGAAAATTAGAGAAAGTGCTGATGGAAAAGACGAGAACTTGTACAACACGGCCGTGATCTTTGATCTTCTTTGGTTTTCAGTTTATTAAAGACCTTCATGTCTTCTGTGTTTTTTTTATATTGTTCTTACTTTTTAGATATGAACACATACATGCAAGTATAATTTGGACCCCCCACACACATATACACGCACATTAAATATAGATTGAAAGATCTCTAATTGTTTCTGAACAATTAGTTTCTAGTTTCAATTTTAAACCTGTAAACTTAAGGATCCACTCCTCAGAGCTTCTGTCATTTATTGCCTCGGAACACTCTTGAGGAACCAAGCAAAAGACATACAGTAGAATCATAAACAAAATGATTCCGAAGCTCTGGGGAGTTCGAGGGGTAATTGATTCCGAATAGACATATGCTAAGATATGCGTGTGTAATGCACTATTCCTTCAGACTTTTCAAAAAGTAATTTTTTTTAAATTTACAAATGTTATTTTGTTACCTAAAGCGAATTACAAGCATAGAAATTCATAAATTGACCAAGAAAATTTTCATTAAGAAGAGTTGTTTTAAACTTTACTGTCAGTGTATCATGAGTACCACGCACTCGCTGTATAGACGAACTCAAGTTATCCTGATATTTGTAAATTATAATGTGCCCTGAAGTTTGAAAGTTCTCATTATTATTGAAAAGACACCTATTGCATGTTTTTCATGTTTGGAGTCGATCCTTTAAATTGTAAAAGTCAGTCGCCGATTGTAACAAGAACACTACTGTATATTTAATAAAGCATATTTGTAATGTAAAGGTGAATATAACGAACAGTAATCGATCTAAAAGAATCTGCAAATAATACAAATCTTTGAACAGGACATAAACAAGGTCCCCCCGTAAATTCCAGAACAGTGCTCAGGAGGAGTAGGCATTCTCTGTCGACCGGTCACATCCACTGTAAGCCCTATGTATTGATCATGTAAAAGAAATATTCCGTAGTCAAAGAACTACGCACAATAACTCCCGATTCCCGCCTACATTTTACACCCACTTAATTCAATACTAATGACAATTTGGCCGTAAAATCTTTGTTGAATGCAAAGAACAGTTCAACGGTAATTGACTGATAATACCAGTGTTAAATAGTTAATTACCCCTAATTCCAGTTCTTTAAATAAGGGGGGTAGACGATATTTTTCATTGAAATCGGGCTTTAAAGCATCACAACATTTCAAAATATTCTTGGATATGAATAAATGTTCCTTAAATCTCTTTTTATGTTTTACTCATATAAAATTAAACATATATTATTAATAAAATACAATGTTTTAGTTGTAAACCTCTTTGAAATTGGTGGAGAAAATAAGCATATTTTTTAGTTTTTTGTCTGTAAACATATGTCCCCCCCGTGAAACACAAAAAGCTTTGGTACGAATTTGTGAAATGACAGTCCATTTTACCTGTAAAAGGAATTTTTGTTTCACCGGGGGGGGGGGGGGAGATGTTTTAAAAATATTTTCCGTTTTCTGTTGATTTCTATAGTGAAAAACACAAGTTTGACCACAATTATAGCGTTATCTCTCTTTGTTTTCCCAAAAGAGTAATGAAAATTCTTATAAATATCTATATAGATATGAAAAATCATTCAAATGTGTTAACTTTTGTAAATTTACTTCGAGGTAGGCGGGAGAACAATACTATCGTTCGCAGTTCTTGAAAATAAAAAACAAAAGCCTAACAATTGGTTTGAGCCAAAATACGACCCATTGATAGGTTATTTTTGCTAACAAGGTCATTATAACGACCATATAATTTAGAAATGCTTATTCTAAATCTATGTAACAACAACTTTTCACCGTAGCTTGCCTCGGTTTAAAATTTGATCGAACAAAGAAATTACTCTTGAATATCGAATGAGTTTGGAGAAGTAAACACCATATGAAGGTGATGGCAGAATATTACTACATAAATAAGGAAAGTGACAATTAATGGATTATTTTAACAACAACTTTTCTCAGTAGCTTGCCTCGGTATAAAAGTTAATCGTACTAAGAAATTGCTCTGAATATCGAGTAAACAAATATGAAGGTGATGGCGGAATATTACTTTATAAATAAGGAAGGTAACAATTAATTGCATTGAAATGCTGAAGTCGTTTGGTTTGTCATACAATTTAGTTGTTAGTTGGCCCTTACAGGTTATGTTAGATTCAGTATAACATCAAAATAATTATGAAACAGATGATGTGAAACAGACTCTATGCTGTCTTTTATTTCAAATTTACTGGGATATATCGATTCGACATATGAATGGAAGTAAATTTAATTATAAATGAACCCATGAACCCACGAATATGTGCAATATTTGAATTAAATGATTATTATATAGACTTGATATCATAATATGTTTATTACAATTGTAATAAGTAAACGTTCAAGACTTTACAGTTTAAACGGAGTTTGGGAGGGGGTTAGCGGGGCAAAAAGTATTCTAAATATTAATTTGTTTGAACATGTATATGTAAAAAAAATTCGTAATCTCTCTTTCACACCTACATTTGTCAGATTCTGAAACTTACATGTCTTTATTTTTGTAACATTTTTTATTCAAAAAAGGTATATTTAATTGATTGATTGATTGTATGTTGTTTAACGTCCCATTCGAGAATTTTTCACTCATATAGAGACGTCACCATACACCGGTGAAGGGCTTCAAATTTTGATCTTTACTCGGCACTCAGGGCCATTGAGCAGTGAGAGATCTTTATCGTGCTAACGCCTGCCGTGACACGGGGCCTCGGTTTTTAAGGTCTCATCCGAAAGACCCGCAACTTTCACTTCAAAGTGCCGAGCGCACGGTGAAGGAACAGTTGCTACCCATTTTTTATCGACTTAGGTCAGTCGCGGCCGAGATTCGAACTCACGACCTCCCGATCACGGAGCGCTAGGTATACTTGAAGTGATCTGAAATTACTCGTCTTAGAGTATTCATTTTTTCCTAACTCGAACTTTATTATCCCCTCATAAATGCAATTTAATTTGAAATGAAAGTTAACAAACATCTACCAGAATTACGCAAAAATTGTCATTTTTGTTTTCCTTTATAAGTGTATAGATATTAGAATTTTTTCTATTTCAATCATAGGTCATTTCCATCGAAAAGTACCTCCATCAGAGCATGATGAATGGGATGATATTACTCTTTCCCTTTTAAAGGACACTTCGAATGATACCTATTTCCGAGCAAAAAGTTGTCTTGCTTCAAAAAGATTTGTTGTTTTGAGAGGAGTCCAGGGATCCGGCAAAACTTATTTAGCGAAGAATTTAGCAGACAATATAAATCAGTTAACAATTACGCAATGTCAAGTACACTGGGTCCATGATGTACTTGAGAATGAAATACCAAAGATAACAAGCAATATATTGTTAGTTTTTGACGATATATTTTATGAATTGCAGTCCAAGGATGAATTTCAGGAGTCAATAAAAATGTTAGAAGAACTCTTTAAAAAGGTTTATTCTTCAGAAAGCCTGTATGTTATTGTTACAATACCAACATATGCATGGAAGACACATTCGGATCAATATCAAAATAAAACGTGTTTAAGTTACTATGTTGATTTAGATACCTTAAGTAATGAGGAAAAAACAGAAATTTTCAATCATCATTTAAGACGTAGTGTTATTAAAGAAGAAGGAAGTACGAGAGAGACGAAACTCATAATGAGAGATAGTGTCAAATCGGCTATCATAAAATTTGAAAGATGTGATTTTATTGGATACCCCTCTTGTGTAGCTTGGATTTGTAAAATGCAAGACCAGTTTGATTTGCACAATGCAGCAAGATTCATGGATGTTCCAGTAACTAGGATCAAAAGTGACATATATCGTTTGCGTGACTCCAAAAAATTCAAAGAAAGAAAAATGTTTTTACTATTAGCTTATATGGCTTTTAGTGGCGGAACATTAAACGAAAAGAAATGCAACGAAGATCTCCTAACGAGCACTGCCAGAATTTTCTTCCAAGAAGATGATTGTAAACATTTTCTTTTGCAGGAGCACGATGAGAGTATTTTTTTATTACAGGAAAAATACATAAGACAGGCATCTGTTGGACTCTATGAATTTTATTTGGGTGTTGTGAGAAAAATAGTGCTTATAGTAGCCTTGGAGAAAAACGTAAAAGCTTTAAAAGGGAATGTGAGCCAAGATATATGGAAGCGAGTCGCTTTTAAAAGAGGTAAAAAGCCGTCTGAGTTGGCGGTTGGTGAACTTTCACATATGTATATTAAATAGAATAAAGTCAATGAATATGCGTAGTAAAAATTCACAAGCACTCATATATAACAGTTTTTATCTCCGAAATTCATAATTAAAACTTACGTAACCTGTCAATGGGTGAGGATTCTTTAAACTATAATGGATATGAGTTAAAATAGTAAGAACTGGACTAAGAAAGTTCGTTTAAAGTAATCAGACGAAAAAAGTACTTATTTATATATTTTTTATTTCATTCAGATATCAAGATTGACATCATCTTGTACGAGACTCGATATTTTTATTGAAAAAAAGGTTTTGAATGTATCCGTTTTGTGAAGTAATTGTAATCATGTTTGATTTTCTTAAGATTTTTTTTTCTTTTTTTTTTTAAATGAACCTGATTGCAGTTTATAATCATAAGATTTTTCTCTAGAATTTCATGATTTACATACTGCAAGAGCATTTAAAAAGGATATACATGTATTATAAAAACCTGTCAAAAATCCTTCAATCTGAAATTAATGCTTTTTGGAACACAACTACCTCTATTGTCGCGGTGGAAAGCCCAGGAGTTGATGTACTATACTGCATGTGTGCCTCGGAAAAACCACTCTAGTTCAATGTTGGAAATAGAAAAAAAAACAATTTAACTGTAACATTGCATATTGTGGGTGATGTTGACACACATGCAAATCAACCCAGTGCTGTTGGCATCCCTTCAAATATGGTTGTAAACATCTTGTCGTTGGAAAATACAATTGTTGATTTTGATGTAGATGAAAGACAAACTGAAAGTCATTGAAATATTGACAATTTGATGTTGATGTTGATAATATAATGAAGTTGTTGACGATGCTGAAATGTTGATCTAACGTTGATTGTTGGTGTAATTTGTCATTGATATATTTTAAAAGGTCTTGCTCTTACTAACTGGCATCCCCTTGTAGCTGTATGTTGTTTGATTTACCATTTAATGTACATACTATTAATTCCACCGCGGCAAAATTTTGCCACAAGTAAACTTTCAATTTTTAATTTGTTGCGTCATTCTTGAATACAAGTCTGCAATGATGTAAAATAAGAATTCCGAATTATGCCCCTTTCATTGAATGAAATATTGAAACTTTGGAGCGCAGGGATATCTGTCTACAAACACTGCAGAAGACAAAATAACTTTCTTTAATATATCTTTCTTCTCGAAATAAAAGATACCAAAAGTCTGCTACATCTGATTCATATTTGGTTGTTCTCTGACTAGAGACGATTATTAATGGCCAACCAATAACTAAACTGTATGACAAACGGGATGACTTCAGTTTTTCCATTGGCATCTTACTTATTTTTATAGTAAAATTCCGAATCAGATGCAAATGGTTTTATGTTTACCAACTCATTCGATATCCAAGAGAATATTCTGAGTACGATCAATTTTTAAACCGAGACAAGCTACTGAAAATATGTCGCTGTTACAAGCATTTTAACAAACTCTTTTAAAATCTGCTTTTCGCAAATTTTACGGCCAATATAATGATCTTTTTTGTGATTACAACCTATTGAAGGATTGCACTTTCTCTGACATGTTTCATACCAGTTTTTAGGTCACTGATTTATAAAAAATTGTTGTGTTGTTGCGAACAGCTTTTCATAGCTGTTTGCCTTCTGTGGCAGATTTTGTGTTTTGACAGCTTTGTGTTTTGTTTACTTATTTGTCAAACTATTTTTGCCAAACTAATGAATACTTTAGCGGCCGCCTAGCCACATCACTAGGATTAATATTCCAGCATTATTGTAAATTATACTCTTTATGTAATATGTGTCATGTCGAAGTTTTAAATGAGCATATGATTCTTGTGTTATCAGCATTCTCCTTGGAAGAGAGTTCTAATTATCCAATCGTAGTCATTGATCAATTCACTTGACATAAGATATCGTTATATCACTGATTTAGAAATGTGAACAAGATACTAGATTTTTGTCTGAGAAATTTACCCACCCTCCATCCCCTGTTATACTCCATGATCTAGTATTATTTTAGGCTGTTAATATTTGTTATTTTATGTGTAATCCTATTTGCCATTTGGCAGCTTTTTGTTTGGCAGCTTTTTGTTTTGTGTACTTTTTACAGTCAATTTAGGCCTTATTTGTCAAAATGTTTCTGTCAACCTTTGATTGTTTGCAAGAGTGGAGATCCCTTTGCCAATTTTATCGTTCTTTGTACTAAGGAACATTTTGCTGTTATTATCCCTGTATATCCCTCTAACATTAATTGTGTTATATAGGTATTGTGATTAAATAAAGGACAATTTTCACTCAATATTATTTGTCTTTGTTTTGTTTTAGCTATAATTTATAGATTTATAATACAAGAAGAGCAATATATGTCAAAAACAAACACTGTCTTTTTAACAATTTCATATAACAACATCCTTGTTCTGGATATTAAAAACTTAAAACATTATATCATATTGCGTCATTTCAGCAAAGCTTCAAATCCATTTCAGTATCCAGATGGAAAAGTATTTTACAGCGATATCGAAATTTGATTATTTTATTAAAACTTTAAAAAATTTGTGCTATGCATATATGTAAAGCATGTGATGTTCGAATAACATAGCTCAAGTCACCCACATTAAAACTGCATTGACTTAAGGTCATGTCAAATTTGAAACAACTTCATGTTTTGTTAAACCTTTAGTTGCTGCTAGCTCAATGTGAGGCATCAGATCATCAAAGTTAACCCTTTCTTATGATCACTGATGTTGGATTCTATATTTTCTCTCAAAGACTAAATATAAATGATATCAATAGTGATGTTGAGATTCAAGAGACCCCACTGTACGTTTTAAAGTTGAATGTCTGGTTAAAACATAATTTTCTGAACAATACCTAAATACTTAGGGAATTACAATTTAAACAAAGTCACTGTGATAAAGTATTTAAGTCCAAAATTGAAATCATCCATAGTATTTTTCAAAATACTAAATTACATTATGCTTTATTTAAGTTTTGACTCGTATATAGTTTTACTATAATTTATAATAGTTAAATAAAGTATCGAAGTTTTTACTAAAGTAAATCAAAGTACATGTAATTTTATCATACATGCAATTATTTTCATATTGATAGGGATTATTACTTGTATATTCACATAATATTTCTAAATTTTACTTCATCAGCATTGAATTTCAGAGACATTAAGCATCAAAATCTAAAGTTAATTTTAGTAAATTTTTGTCAGGGAACAGTCCACCATATCAGCAAGTAGATACATAGTTCTAAATTTCGGGTTTTGATTTTGTGAAGTTTTGCAATGGTTACTTACACAGAAATTTCTGTGAAATACTTTCAAAATTCTTCTCCTAAAGTTTGGTCTGATTTTAATATAATTTGGCTTTCAATTAGACTACACTGAGATACATAATTGCCCTTATTAGTTTTTGCTATCGTTAGTAAAATAAAAATTTCTTTAAAACGATTTCAAAAGGCTACTGCTCCTACAGTTTAAGTCTAATCGCAGTAAACCTTAACACAAAAGAGACCAAATAAAGGATTATTATTCTTTTTATTGCTGTTGCAAATTTTCAAGTCCAAGTGCTACGTTTCCCTCCCTTTGTTACAAGTACAAACCAGTAGAGCTACAGTCTCGTCAGAGACTTCTAGTTAACATATTTAATTTTAACATGCATGAAAATTTATAACTAGATGCTGTGATGAAACAGTAATACCCGCACTAAGTGTTTGCCTCTAAATGCACACTTCTTCATATTAGGCCTACCAAGGAAAATGCCAAAATAATTCTATAATTTACACAGTACATGTATTCGTCAAATCGAGCATAAAATGCTCAGGTGACCATGTGACCTATAAGCCTCTTTTAGGTATTTCCTTTACTTAATTCATTACCAGTCTGAAATAACAGAATTTAATTAATGATGTAAATTAGGTTTTGATAAAAGGGGGGATATAAATTTTTGGCCCATAATTGAACTTTTTAAATTAATTTTCTCAACAACAAATAATATTATTTTAGTACAAAGCGTTTTTAATGAATTTATCAAAATGTGCAAACTTTTTTTAGTATTTAATTAGGCAAAAACCCTCTTGAAAATCCATACCCAATCAATTTTGTCTCCCCCCCCCCCCCCCACACACACACAATTTGCCTGTTTTTGGAAATAGCCCTAGATGGAAAAGTTATGTTAAAAACATCGTTTGTTATGATAATTAGGTCTTTCCACCTTTCTGTGGAAAGACCTATTGATTTTCTTCTGTTTATTAGGGTCTTCCGTCTTCTGCGGAAGACCCTTCTATTATTCTATTGTTGATTTTTCACTTTTCTTATTATTAGGGTCTTCCGTCTTCAGCGGAAGACCCTTCTATTATTCTTATGTTTCTTTTTCACTTTTATTATTATTAGGGTCTTCCGTCTTCAGCGGAAGACCCTTCTATTATTCTTCGGTTTCTTTTTTACCTTTATTATTATTAGGGTCTTCCGTCTTCAGCGGAAGACCCTTCTATTATTCTTATGTTTCTTTTTCAATTTTCTTATTATTATTCTTTTTTTCTGCACATATTTTGTGCAGACGATTTCTCAGAGATGGATTGATGGATTTGCATAAGATTTTCAGGGTTGGTGCTAGGTTATCTGAAGTTAATTCCGGCTAAATATTTTTTTGAAAATCACTTCCGGTCGAAAGTTATCGGCCTTTTAATAAAATTCAGAGGACCTCCTTGTCTGTGATGGAACTCAAAAACGGCTTAAGCTAGAGCGCTGAAATTTTCAGTGATGATAGAGGACATGTTGCCATTTTGCACCTGGGTTTAAATATTTTCCGGAAATGCCTAGTATGGAAGCTCGGTAGGGGTCAAAATTTAGGTCACGAATCATGTGTGAATTTTTAAGACATTTTGTATCATATCTTTAAAAGTATGAATATTTTGTTAAAACATATTGAACAATATTTGTGCAGAATGACAGGATCTTTAACATGATATCAAGAAAAAAGGGCTGACTTATCAAATTAGGGGCCGAGAGG